GTTCGGAAACTTTTCAGACCACCCTGATACTTGTTAACGGATATAAATATATCAGAAAATGTTAAGAAAATAATATGAGACAAACTTCAAAGTATATATTTTCCAAATCACATTACTTAATAGTCCTTCCCCCCTTCCTTCCATTCACGATTGTGGTATGCCTAAATAACGTCTAGCAAATTGTTGGATGTGAATCGTTTGAAGATGTGTCTAGCCATAAATAGTCATATCCCTTAATTCATTTACTAGAAATTTTTAATGACTAAGAACTTGCTTACGTTGCTTGTAAACACTTTTTAGTTAATCTGCGAAGGCTTGTAAAAGCGAAAGAAATTATTAGCTCTCTTAATTAACAAAATGTAAAGTTTACACGGTTTACTAATTGTAACACAATTATAACACTGTAAGGTTTACAAAACGCAAACCGTGTAGTGGTAGTGTAAGAATATCCACTACACCATATCATCCCGTCACGGGACCATTCAAGAAAGTTATTTGCATCTGGTATCTGAAATACTTAATTAAAAAGTATTTTGCATCTTGTATTCCAGATACTTTATTTTACGTATCTTGTACATCACTGGTCCCGTGGGTGTCGTAGGTGGCGACACAGGGAAATTGAAACAGGTGATGTGCACCAAAATCTTCCCGATAATAACTCAAAATAGTAAAAAAACTGCGGTTGGCAACCCGCTCGCCAAGCGTGGGAACCATGGCAAAATTCCCTCTATGAGACAATCTATGGGGGCAGCCTATGTTTAGCAGTAGACTTTTATAGGATTTGATGGGTGGATGATGGAAAGTTTACATATCTAAGTTGATTTTAATTTTCCTGCTATTATCTTTAGATGCTAAAACTCAAACTCAAACATTTTATTGCGTTCATGTGGTTACTTAAATATTCTTATGTTATGTTGCTATATATATGTATTCTTATGTTGCTAGTCACTATATTGCCGTGTATAGATTGAGAGATAGACAAATATGTTATGTTGTTTATGTTTCTTGAACTTTATTAGTACTGGAAAAAGGGCACGTTTTTAAAACACACTATAAAATTTCAGAATCTTTTCATCGATAATCATAATAGATAATCTACTAAGGTGCTTGTTTGTATCCTGTAATAAAATCCAATTTCTCTGTTAACGCAATTCGAAAGTTATATATCTTTCATCAGAAACCAAAACACGCTCTTCAACGGTGCATGTGTAAGCTAACATAACGGCGTAAACTCTTGAAACTGGCAAATGTTCGACCAACATCGCCATTATTTATACTTTCGGGAAACGTTCTAGACTCAAACAAACACTCTTAACAACGGAAAATCACGTTTTCGAACGTTTTAATGGTGCCGCGTAAAATTCGTAATACTCATAAACTATTCACTACCAATCACGCGTTCAACTTACTACATAAAAGAAAAAAAACATGTATGCAGTTTTCACGCGGTAGAAGTGAAACCTTCAAATGAAATGAAATATAAAATATACATAATGTAAATTTCACGGCAAATGATTTATTTGGTACCTATATCATTTTTTACCCAGAAGTGAGATATAAAATTAACGATAAAAGTTTAATTTTATAGCAAGTAAATATTATTACAGTCCTTATTTTTAGACATGTACTGCATAAGCCTAAATTTAGTGTAATAAATCAAAAGAATATTTTATTTCGAGTAAAATTGATTTACAATAGTGCCATCTACTTCATTCTATAGGTAAATTCATTTTAATATTACAAAAATTAATTAACTGTCAAGGTAGTACGTAAAATAGACCACAAAGATTCTAAAAAAGTTTTCACTTCAAAAAAATAATTTCTTTAGCAGTGAAAGTGTCTCCAAAGTCAGTTTTCAATGCAGGAACAGATGAGTAATGTATGAAATGTCTGATACACGACACGTAACCCGCCTATGAATCATAGCGCTTACAGTAAATTTTTCCTGGGGCACGCCAAAATTCTACAAAAGTCAATCAATTATGGACAGCACACACGGTCAGTTCAACTGATCATTCCAACTGATCACTTTAAACTAGGAATGTAAATATTTTTTTAAATATCGGATTTTTGATATATCGTTAGTTATAAATATATCAATATCGGAGTTTTATATACAAGTTTATTTATCGATATATCGAAAATCCAATATTTAAGAAATATCAACAGTCATAGTTTGAACCGATCAGTTGGAATGATCAGTTGAACTGACCGTGTGTGTGTTCGTCGTGTGTTCAAAAATTGAGCTCTGATCACTGTGGACAATTAGTTTCCTTACCTTATGTTCACAAAAAGCAAGTAAATAAAAAAGTATTGTTTGTTCCAGGTTTGGTGCATTTACACCAAAATAATATCAAAATAGTCCAGATTTTTCGTATGGAACATTATTTAAGCTTATTTGCAACGAATTTAATAATACTTTTACTTCTAAAACATTTTCTTTGAACGCAGAAGAGAACGCACGCTAAGATTTTCATGAATCGCAAGGCATTTATTGATATATATATGAAAAGGAGATATCATAGGTTTGGATAAACTGCTGCTGCTGATCTTTTTTAAGCAATCGCAAAAACTGACACCAATCTATTAATAATATCTATGTATTAATATCTATCTATTAATAATATCTATATATTAATAATATCTATCTATTAATAATATCTATATATTAATAATATCTATCTATTAATAATATCTATATATTAATAATATCTATCTATTAATAATATCTATATATTAATAATATCTATGTATTAATAATATCTATATATTAATAATATCTTATTATATATATTAATAATATCTATCTATTAATAATATCTATATATTAATAATATCTATATATTAATAATATCTATATATTAATAATATCTATGTATTAATAATATCTATGTATTAATAATATCTATGTTTTCATCCCATATCGTCCCGTAGGTGTCGCAAGAGGCAACAGAGGCGAACTTAAATGGGAGCAGCATTCCTGATAAGCAACTCACAATTATAAAACCGCGGTTACCAACCCGCCTGCCAACCGTGCCAACTAAGGCAATCAATTTGAGGGGCGGGTCTATGTTCGGCAATAGACTTTTGTAGGCTATAATGGATGAATCCATCCAGGATGAATCTATTTATGTAAACAACAAATTTTGTCAAAAAAACAATATCTTTGTTTTCATTTCATGTCCGATATCATTTATCAAAGTTAACTTATCTGGATATCTTGTCAATGTTATTTTTTGAAACAAATAAATTCCATCAATCATATATGTGAATAAAATATGACAAAATATAAGTTAAGCAATAATTATTATATTTAAAGATATTTCTTCTTTTTTTCTTCTTCTCTCTAAAATTCATCCGAAGTTTTTTCTTTTAATTACAAATTTGGTTAAAATGGTTAAAATAAGAATTTGTAGGTCTTTCATACACAGTTTACATATTTTGATATACATTCTTTGTTTCCACCATTCATTACCATCCCGGCCTATAAAAGTCTAGGTACTGCTGAACGTAGGCCTCTCCCATTGAGTGCCTCATTGGTTTTGATTTCGGCTTGGTTACCACGCTCAGCAAAAGCGTTGGTAACCGCAGTTTTTATACCTAATTTTGGGTTAATATCAATACCTAATATGGGTCAATTTAAGCGGCAGTAGCCTAATGGCAGGGCGCGGACCGCGAACTCAAAAACAAGACTACGGGCGTGAACCACTCGTAACACAAGCAATTTAAGCTTACCGGGGTTTTTTTTTTTTTTTTTGTATATGAATTTGATCAGCTGCTACCCATATCCTGTTTCAGTTTTCCTCAGGAGCCACACACACAGCCATTATTTGGTTATAACCAAACGTTCAGTATTCGACAATGCTTGATGTAGAATAACGTGCAAATGAAATAGAGTACTTACAACCTAATATTTTCTTTTTTTCGTACAATTTTATTTATCTGTCTTTGACCTGTATACATAGGTACACCAAACCTTTGACCATCAAGATTAAAGACTGTCTGCTAATTATTTTTATATTTTTTTTTTATTTAACTAAGACATTTTTAAAGTAACGCTTTGGTTTTTTTTTGTAAAAAAAAAACAGAAAAAATTTCGTTTATGCCTAACTGATTAGAACGAAATGCAAAATCGCTCTTTCTGTTATTATGCGAGACGCTACCATGTACTCGTATGCACCTATAATCTGTTATAATGAATATTTCTAGGGCGTCATCTGAATGTCAAAGGGAATACTGCATGCAGGTAGAGTAAGGTTAAAGTAGGCTTTGACCTCCTCGCTTCCTGGGAAACATAAGTTAAAAAGGACTATGCGACCACTTATTCGCAACTTTTCGCAGTGTCACTCGATTTGTTTGAAGGTATCGAAATAATTACTTGATCAATAGGTGCACTGCCAACTTTTATAAAACATTGTAATTAATATGTAAAACTAATACATAAATCGGTATCGACAACATTTTATCATAAATAATGGTAGCCAGTATTTTAATTATCGTCAAAACATATTATATATATAGCCTGTACCTTTCTAACCGCAACGTAGGTTAATGCTGGTTACCTTTCGGCAGAAACAGTAGAAAGAAGCCCCACAAGAAAAGAGCTGAATAGCTGTTATCCAAAGCCTAATAATTTTTAAACTTTTTATTTCTTAAATTATAATCTATGCAAAAACGTTAAACTTAATTTTAGATAGCTGACAGTTTGAGAAACATTTTATTTTCGGGATTTTATTAAAACGTGTTATGTGTGGATTAATTGATTGAGTACCTATAGAATTTGTATTATGACTTTAAAAGTTCAATCATTCCCTGCTTTTTGCTGATTACGTTTCTTTTAAAATGAAGTTCCACGATTGATTTTCCGTTGATTCTTCCATGAATGTAAAGAAACATTAAAATGTCTACAAAAATCTTTAACGAAAATGACTTTCCATCTTAGTATTAAAACGTAGGTGCCCTAAAGTTTAGAGGCGCCCACGTTTTAATACTTTTCGAGAATGGGTGCAGGTAACTATGAGCTTACGGTATATAACATAGACAAAAGTCCCTCAGATGTACATATTTATGCTAATTTTTACCTCTTAGTTACCCGTAGTATTAAAAATAGAATATTTCCAAAGATCATCATTCGTATTATCCTAACACACTAACTATATTTATAATAAGATATGAGTATGTTCTGATTATAAAAACATGTGAATACTTTTTGATAGTAATTTTCGGCTACAAAAAACTAAAGAAAAAAAAAGGAAAAAGATAATATTAGAACATCTCTACTGAGTGAAAAGTTAAGTTAAAGTTCTGTTTATACACGTATAATGAAAAATGTGTTTTTATTATTTGTCATATATTATCAACAGCTTGTCAGCTATAATGTCACCCTTGCTAAAAATCCGAGGGTAATTAATTGATTTAATAATTTAAGAAACATTTTTCATAATCAAACCCAAGTTTTTTCTACGAATTGGTAGCATATTTCGTAGAAGTGGCAACACTGTACTCTAGCGGGAACTAAAACTAACAGTTGTATCGTTACGTCAGAGGGCGCCGAGTGGCGCGAGCGTCGCGGCACGGGCGGTGGCACATTACTATTCAAGTTGCGGAAAGATTTAACGACCTTCTTGTACATTCAAGGCGATCGTAGTTTAACGCTAATAATGTCTGGCTATGTCATCGCAGTTTATCTACAATTAAACCCATCGGATAGGTACTAATTTTTAAGTTTTCTGACGTTTATTACTACAAAACAACGAAATAACGGTTTTTATAATATAGGATCCGTTATATCCTTATAAATAAGCACACAGTCCACCTGATGGTAAGTGGATGCTATGGCCCATAGACGTCTACATTTAACCTCGCTTAAGAATCAAAATGTAGATGCGTTGTCATCCTTGAGGACTAAGATGGAATGCCGCGATTCCAGTAAAACGGGTCTCCGGTTCTCTACACTCACCATACGAAACACAGGAGCATTAAGCTGCTATTTTACGCTGGTATTCTGCGAGAGCGTGGTCCTTCCCCGGTCGAGCCAACCGATTCCTACTACAACCATAATAGCTGCAGTGTGACTCTACCACGTAAAAAATATAAGACAACGGTTAAAAATAAAATTTAATGGTTTGTTGCATTTCCCCTGTCCTAAATGCAAGGATTTTTAGTCACATATCATAGTAAAAGCAATTAATACTATCAGTAATCGTAATGAGTTCAAGCAAATGAATTGTAATAAACATGTTAGCGTAAATCAAATCCCCTATCAAACGTTTTACAAAGTAATTCGTAATCCCATCCTACTTTACAACACCGCACCGCGCGAGCCGGCTTCATCAGAACCAGTCCTAGTACTTGCACAAGTTGACTAACCACTCCTATTCTATAAACCGACGTATCGACGCTCCGACACGAATAATCCGCGGGTGTTCCTATTTATCGATACGTTGTGCGAATGCAAAATCGATACCGCAACTAGCACATGACTATAGCGGATCGAAAGTGTGGCCAGTGACCCGGCCATCTGGCTCATATACTGAATCGTTTCACTTTTATTTGGTCTTGTTGTTAGGATATTCTCCTTTTTGGTAATTATGAATAACCTGAAATTAAAAAAAAACTTATCCTTTTACTATTTTTAATAATAAGGATTATTTACAAAATTATCCTTACAAAATAAAGGATATCATAAATAGTGGGGTATGGCGATGCGTATTAGAGAATAAAAAGTATTTTTTATCTGTTACAGGTTTCAATTAAACAGTTACTGAGTGGCTGAACAAGGACATAGGTAAGAAGACACTGAGTATTGTTAACTTAAACTATTATCTTTGAAAGCTGCTTTTCTTTCCCCCCTTTTCACCTTAAAGAGCCTGATACTGGGCATGGATGGACCTCTGCTATAGAAAGGAGAATTTGCCATAACTTCCAGGCTTTTAGGGAATATCAAACTTAAATATGCAATGCGATCGTCTCTAAAAATTTTACTGTTAATGGCTATGACTGTTTTTCTGTCTTTTATATTTTGTAGGCACTAATTTTAAAGAACTTTAAAGTGTGCTTGATTAGATCTTTGTGATAGAGCAGGTATTGCAAAGTGGAAGAGCTATGCTCGAATTATGTGCATATTGGATTTTATAGGTATATCTACATAAACTTCAAACACTGTCTTATCCCATCTTTGACATGCCAATAACGTCAGCATCATTACAGTCGTTCACAAGAACATGTCTCCTCACCGTACAGTTCAAAGCACGATTATATTGAAATGTTAGTACTGTTAGCCTTTTGGCTTTTACAGTTATTAAAGATCTTAAAAATGTATTCGCTAAGATCCGCGTAATGAAATAAAATGATGTGTCTTAACTAGTTCGAAGAGTACCTCCCGCCCATCCTCAACTGCGTACACTATCCCCGTCACCACTACTTCCAGCACCACTAGACTAGGAAAAACATGTCATCGATGATACGCCAAGTGACTGCTTAGTAAATAGACATGCGGTCGGACTCCGCAGAGTCTACTTCACCTGAAGATGTCTCGTGTACATGCGAAACACGTGTCGTGTTATCGACGATTAGTGGATATACGGACGCTATACGACGCTATAGTCCATAGAGATCTACAATCTACATCTATTCTCAACTAAGAATCTAAATGCCGATGGGTTCTTGTCCCTCAGGACTAAGATGGAATACCTCTTTTCCTGTTAAATGGGTTTCCGGATCTCTACACTCACCATACGAAACACAACAACATTTACCTTTAATTTCACGCTGGTATTCTGTGAATGCGTGGTCTTTCTTAGTCGAGCTGATCTACTCGTGCTACAACCATAATATAGCTGCAGTCTGAATCTACCACGTAAAATGTCCTTCCATGTAATACTTTAGTCAATGACAACTTAATTTTTTGTAAGTTAGTTTTAGTTTTGATTTAATTATTTCATCGATTACAGTTTATAACATGTATATTTAATTACAAAAAAGTAACAATGTCCTTTAACTTTGTTACTTCTTAAAGTTAAAGGACATTGTTACTTCATGTTATTGTCTGTTTTCGCAAACTTGATAGAGCCACGCTACAGTGGCAACAGTTTGAATGGGTCTGACTGGCCGGGAAAGGACATCACCCTCGAAGAGCGTAAAAGAGCAGTTTAATGCTGCAACGTTTCGTGTGGTGAGAGGCGCTTCTTCATTTTGATTCTAAGTGGAGGTTAAATGTAGTTGTTTAAGGCTACAATATCCACTTACCATTAGGTGAATTGCGTGCTAGTTTCTCACACATACTTGTATAAAAATAAAGTACACAATGTGTTCTTAGGTTGTGTCCTAAAAGTAAAGTGATGTCACCCGCCAATATAACAAGTATTTAACTATTTGATCAACACAGTTTCACACGCTTCGATTCATTTCATATGAAAGGTAAATTTGGTAGAAAACTTACATCACTCTTTCACACGAACCTTTAATGTATAGAGTAAATAGCACCGTGTTTATATTTACCGTATTGTAGACAAAAATCAAGTAACGTTTTTTTCCTGTGGGATAGGCAACTCGATACTTCTCTCCATAATTGGTGCATGTGTATGTAACGTAAAACATTTTTGTTTAACACTCAATACAAACATTAATGCAGGTATTTATAAAAAAGAAAACGTTACCTCCAAATTAGGATTTAGCGCTGTATCATGGAAGCAGTTTACGTACATAAATTTCACAAGGACAAACATCCAGACCCGGAAGAATTATCTGTAATCCGTACAAATACTTGTTCCATGCGGAATTCAAGCACGCTGTCTTCGACGTCTAAAGTCATTGCTAAGTCATTGCGCCACGGAGCGGTACTAGTCCTGGTCTACCACAGGAGAATGTCTTTTCAGATTGAATGTTTTCTTCAACAAGGATGCGCCACATACTATAACTATATAGTTTACTGATTACTCAATAATCAGCCTATTCAGCAATATATTCTGTCAAATAACTCGGTATAATCGACGAATATTCGGTTGAAATAGTAAATTTTAAACCATCTATATTTAGTTGTCTATATTTAGGATAGCCTTAAACAAAGTATCAACGTTATTGATGTAGCCTTAGTATTTAGGTCTTTCTTTCTAATTATAGTTTTCTTGAATACATACATAATTCTGAAATAAAAACTTCACCATATATTTTCTCCCTGGGATTAAATAATATATTAATATTATAATAACTACATTAATATATACATAAAATTGTAGCGTACGTCGGTAATATCAAAATAACGACGTTCTATTAACTTGCATGCCATTAGGACATGTATAATTTTTTTTAATTTTATATGTTTGTCTGTTCATAGTTATCTTAGGAATGTCTGTACCGATTGTACCTACGAGTAATGTAACTTTAGAAACAGAAAGAGAGGACATCACGAGTGATATATTTTATATGATATATTTTATCTAAAAGAACGATGAGGTCTTTTAAGTCAAAAAACTGATAAAGTAAATAGTTTTTGATGATATAAAACATTTTTGATATGTAATTTGCCACAAAACTATACTTTTAATACTTTGTTTATTTTTTATTTGTTAATATAGTTTACTTTTACACAGGGAGGAGACAAAGAGAGAAAGCGAATATAATACATAAATAAATAACATATAAATTCGTTTTGCGATTAACGGGTCAGTTACGCAAAGCACTATGCAGGTCATTTTTTATTTGTTAATAAAAATGATAATATGTTAACAATAGTGGGGAAGATTCGATTCGATTAACATATTTGCACGCACTTTGTCGTCAATGTGACCAATATGTAGGCCCCTAACGCGATTGTATGCAAAATAAATAATTTATCTAAGTAGGTTTTAATATTCATCACTGCGTCGCAATGTTCGCTTCATAGCATTGTATTCCGCCCAATCGGCGCTATAATGTTAATCAATATTATCCTATTTAAAAACGAATCAATGTTTAAATCACATTCACAAACACAATATGGTCAAAAAACATGTTCCGCTAAAACAGCTGTGTCTGACTATTTTGGCAGTAGATGTAAGAATCACAATAAGTACATAATATATAAAAAAACAAATACATATAAAAAATTCAAAACTTTTGTTAGAATGTTTTTAATAAGGATAATTATAGTTTTAAAGAGTACATGATTAATAATAAACCCTGGGAATAAGGTGATCTCTATCAAAATGTTCCTAAATGTTTTTATACTAATTGTATAAAATATTGTAGTTTCTTGCTGGTTAACCAAGACGGAGCTTAAATGATTTTCAGCAAGTATTCTTGAATCTTCTATCTAAATTGAATAAAAATGATTCTATTCTCTTCTATAATCACTTAAAATTAAAATTTCTTAAAAAACCATCTTTGTATTAGTTCTAATAGTGATTACGTGGTAGAGCCATGCAGCAGTTATATTAGTAGTATAGTTGTAGCACGAATGGGTCGGCTCGACCGGGGCAGGACCACGCTCTCACAGAATACCAGCTTAAAATAGTAGCTTAGTGCTGCTGTTTCGTATGGTGAGTGTAGAGAACCGGAGACCATTTTTACTGGAAACGAGGCTTTCCATCTTAGTCCTCACGGGTGACAACGCATCTGCATTTTGATTCGTAATCGAGGATAAATGTAGATGTCTATGGGCCACAGCAACCACTTACCATCAGGTGGACTGTGTGCTCGATTGTCACCCTATCAAATATAAAAAAAACATACAAACACTTCATATATAATGAGGACTTTACTTAAGCAAATGATGATATCCAGGATTTTTAAGTAATGTTAATTGTTATCATAATATGTAAGGGAAATTTTTAAATTGAAGTAACAAACGAAATTTGTTGGTCGATTCAATTTTATTAAAAAAAAAAGTAGATTCACTGACTACTGATATTCATGCGCCGCCGTCACTACACAAGAAATCAATTGTTTTATTTATTCCTCACAAGTCTTAAATTTCTTACAGATATATGAACTGTAGCAATAGACAAACGTACCCTAATTGTGATAAAGAAAAAGTTTATTGACGTGGTAGAGCGTCACTATAGGTACCCTAATTGTGGATATAGAAAGTTTTATTTATGTGGAAGATCGTCACTGGAATTATTATGGCTGCAACTTATTATAGTGTGACGTAATAACGTATATGGTGTACCTAAAATGTAAACGACTGACTAAACTTTTTCATAAAAAATACCTTGATTCTGATTTAGTAATATGTAGGCTACAAAATATTCTATTGTAAAGAAAAAACATTAAGCGTGTTCGGGACAAATTGTATAAAAACTAGTATTGACGTCGACGACAGGACGGACAAATTTGACAATTATTGTCGCTATGTCTAAACTTTAAACGAACAACGAAGTATTTGACGCGCAACCTCTACAAACAACGCAACGCACCATTATTACCTTTTGTCTACCCTTGTCTTTATCTTGCGATAAATATTCAATCCCCCTACATCGATAAATTCTGTTAGCAGGTCGAGTCTGTCGTCTCGTTCCAAATGACCCGAGAAAGTACTACAACTTTCTATATTAAATAAAGACTCGAATAGCAAAACTAGTTACAGTCGTATATAAATAATTACAATATTATTGACTAGTAATCGATGGCTTTAAAACGCTCCAGCTATAGAAATTATTCCCAAATATACTAAATGCCAAATGTACCTATCCAAAAATAATACAATTTACGCAAACAATTATCAAGTAAATAAAGATAGTGCGACATATGGCGAAATTGATTTGTGTGAAAAATCCTTTTAAGGTCACGTTTAGAAGACTACACAATTATATACATACTACAAGGGCATAGCTTCCAAAAAAGACGCTTTATACTAAATGAGCCTGAATGAGCTCTGTATTGAGATCAAATGTCTAAACGAGATCACATGTTCGCGAAGTCATGACACGCTAACAGATGGACAATGCTCAGATAAGATTTCATTAGAACAAAGCCCACTACACTGGTAACATCTGGTTTATAACAAGTACACTTGCAAAATAATATTTTAGGTACCGTATGATGTTTTAAATTGATTTTCTCACCGAGAGCTTAGCGTAGAACCAAACAGACGTTAAAGCTGTATATTACAAATTACTAGTCTAGTCAAATCTTATGGCATCGTGGTGTTGGCATAAACACAGTTTCACATATCATAGAGAAGATAATATAGTAATACTGTGGTTATATGTCGGGATCTGGTAATTAGACCAATTGGTCTAATCGATTATTCGATTTCCCATCAGCATTTATATTGCACTACCTACCTAGTATTCACTGTTTTATTCCTTTACACCTTTGGTTCCCTGGAAGAGATCGCTATGTAGCGATAAGGCCGCCAAATTGTACATGTAATCTGCTCTCTGTTATGTTCTTTGTAAATTTGTTTGTGGTGTACAATAAAGTATATTCATTCATTCATTCATTATTCATTCATTCATTCAGAATGCTAATCAATTTTTTTTACTGCCTGTCTTTTCTATAGCAGGCGGATACTGCAGTGCAGAATTTGTGTGTTTTTTAAATATTTTTATAGTCTTTGGCCTTGGGTTTCTCTTGTTTTATGCTTTTTGGTGAGAGAAATGGAAAGAAATAGAGAGGGAGAAAAAGAGTGGACTGTTATGTAAGGTTCGGGATCGATTTTCTCGCTTACACTTTGTAAAGGTCGTGTTAAATTTATAGTGTGATACCAAGATTACTGCATACATATCTCACCAAATCATTATCATCATCATCTAACCACGTCAGTCCAGTACTAAGCACGTGCCTCTACTAAACTTCGCTGTTTAACTATTTATCTTAGGCCTTAATTGATTTTACATTTTTTTGCATAAATCTTTATAGTTATTGATTGTCATTTGTGTAAATTTAAAAATGCTTTCTAGGTACAAATCCCATGTTAATTTAACTGTACATTTAGTACTATTTTAAACGTACTTTTTTTACTGCGTGCGAACGTTGTTTCCGCGTACAACGTGTAGGCCATTGTTACTAGCTAACGTTTCTTCACAAAATGCAAAAAAAAACAATTTTATTTTGAAAACAGTATTGTTCAACACTATTATTCGGCAATAGCGGTAAAATTTCGTAAAGTGTTAATCTTTTCCCAATAATTGTACTTTGAAATACAAATAATTTATTTTCTCATTTCAGAGTTCGGTAAGACATGGGGGCGAGGTCCCGGGAGTTACTACTGCTCCTGGCAGCATGCGCACTTGTTATCAGTGAGCCTGTAAACAAAACAGCTAAGAAGAACAACAGAGACTCCGACAACTTCCTCTTCCAATATGAAGATTACGATTCAGCAGAGGATCAAGAGGTCCTGTTTAATGAAGACAGGCCCTGCCCCAGAGATTGCATATGCACTGTATCTCAAGGATACAGAATAGCCAAGTGCAACCGTCTCGAAGTCGGCACGCAGAAATTCGGCGACGATATCACTGATCTTGTGATTGAAAACGCCGATCCGACATTCCCCATTCAGCTTGACGATTTCATCTTCAAAAAACTAGGTCTGCACCAAATTGCGACTATCAAGATAGTCAACAGCACAATTGGTTTTGTCGGACATAACGCGTTCCATGGACTGCACGAATTATATGCAGTCAATTTGTCGAATAATAAATTAAAAACTTTACACCCTGAAACATTCGCTAATAACAAAAAACTTTTATTGTTAACGCTATCAAATAACCCCTTAAAATTCCCGGCTGTAGGCTCTCATGACTACTTCCTTAATGCATCATCTGTTCAAGAACTAGATGTCTCGTACTGTAATATTCAATATATTACAGCTAATACCTTCAAAAATATGCCAGGCCTTATGTATCTAAACGTAGCTGGAAATAATCTCTCTGATATGGATGCCGACACATTTAAAAAGCTTCTGGACTTAGAGGAACTCGACTTAAGTGATAACAACATAAAAGCACTGCCTGAAGACATATTTTCTGAAAATACAGAACTAGCAACATTGCACATACAAAGGAATCCAATTGATTCGGTATACGGTTTACAGATTTCGGACCTGCTTACTCTGAATGCTGGTCAGACGGACATAAAGTTTATTGGACCATCCATGTTTAATGGAATGACTTATATTGCAAACCTCAACCTAAGCGGCAACAGTATCGAGAAAATCCATAATCAAGCATTCCACAAACTTGTCGAACTCAATTACTTAGACCTTTCTTACAACGACTTGGACTTCATTTCCGGCTATCTCATTAAGGAAAATATTGAACTAGATATTTTCAAAATTTCGAACAATCCCAGATTGAAGCACTTACCAGCCGAAGGGTTCAATTGTTCTGCAGAACAGTTTAATATTTATTTGTTCGATGCATCAAATTGTGGACTAGAAGAAATCGGAAATGATTCGTTGAAGACATTCACAGCTTTATCTCAAATCAATCTCTCTGGTAATAACATCAAATCTATAAGTACTGAAGTTTTTTCACGATGCCCTAGGCTAGTGGATATTAATCTTGCCTACAACAAATTAACTACTTTAAATGTTAAAGTTTTCGAAAAAAACAAGGAATTAGGAAAATTAAACCTTCAAGGCAATCCACTGAAAGTACTTTCAGCAGAAATATTTGTTTATACACCGATTCTGACTACGCTTGATATGAGTCACGCCGAGTTGACTTCTCTATGGAAAGTAGTAAAGGACCATCAAGTAGGCCTTCTTAACAACTTGAGCTTCCTTAATGTTTCACATAACAGAATTACTGAGATCAAACAAACTGAGTTAGATAGCTTGAACAAACTGCGTACGTTGGACATTAGTAACAATCCTCTAGCTTGCAGCAGAGATTTTGAAAACCTTATGACGTGGCTTAGTAACCGTAAAGTATCTCCCAACTCCAACAATGCAAATATTGCCAATCTCGCTAAAGACGCAAAGGAAGAGGACGGTACATACAGTTGGGAGTTCTTAACAAAGAAAACTTGTGGCACCGCGTTACCACATCCAGTAGAACCTTTACCACCTGTATCGGATGAAGAAATATGGGAACGCATCGACAAAGATGCAGAAGGTAACTTTGATTTGAAAGATACTTTGGACGACGGGAAGCTCGCTGATGATACTGCTGTTAATAATGACAAGAACAAAAATATCGTTGATGACGACAGTAATGACGCCGATGATGAAGCCGACGACGATGGAGAAGAGGACGATGAAGATGAGGACGAATCTGGCGAAGAATACGACGACAGCGATAGCGATGTTGACCTTAAAGTGAAACTTATCGAAAAACCTGCCGTAAAATTAAGTACGTATAAACCTGTAGCCAGTGGTTCAAGTGAACAATCCCAAACTGAAAAAATAAAGATCGACATAAAACTGCTCGAAAATGATAATATGTACGACGACCTGGAGCCAGAAATCGATATGCAGGCTTCTTACGTCACAGACAATGAGCACGGCCGGTACGGATATTTGTGGCCAATAATGATCGCCGTTTTGGGAGCTCTTCTTATGTTGATCGTCATCGCCAAGGTCGTCATGGTTGTGTGCAGTAAGAAGAATAAGCAAATAAGATATAACAGTGCCATTATCGCCGCTATGAGTCACCCGGGTCGTACAAAGAAAGATTGTGGTCTGGTATACCAGCAACTAACAGAGGACTTGACGGGCCCGAAGACCCCTAAGCTTAACCGCTACGCACCATTGCACAACGTTACCGTAAATGCCTCCAACATGTCATACGAGAGCAGTCCCTTTCACCACAGCAACATTGTGCCGGAAGCCGTGTGAGCCACTCGGTACAAATTAAATTACATTAAATACAATAAATTAACAACTGCGTTAACTTTAAAATAAGCAGTAAGTGATAGATATAAGCGCTAGTCACCAACAGATACATATCTAACATATGAGCATTTTAATAGTGCCTTCAACGATAATTCTCGAACAATGTTGCGACGTTTTTTTCTAACCTAGCGCTTTTCTTATTTGATAATAATGAAGTAACAAATGAAAGTCAAATTAAAACAAATTAATTTAAGATATACATAATTATATATTATACAAATTAGTTCATAGGTTCATTTTATGTACTTAAAATTATTAAAAACTACACTCTAAATGGTAAATTATTTTATTAACATTTTAAAACACATAATAACAAATAGCATAAAATTCCATGAACTTAACGATGCCTATCGCAAAATTCAGTAGAGCGTCAGTGAATCTTCCAGTATTTTCGATAAATCTTCTTCGGATTGCGGCACTGGAGCTATCTTCAATAAACGATGCTAAAAATTAAAATAATCTTTGCATTACATACATATTGGCATTACATACATGAGGGCTGAGAATGCTCCGGATTTAGATGCGTAATAGACTTTAAAAATGAGGATATCCGCAGTAAAACCGGAGTAGCCAACATAGCCCATCGGATAAGTAAGTGGTAATGGGCCGGTCATATAGCTCGAATAACCGTCTACCGATGGGGAAGAAATATTCTCGAGTGGCAGCCTCGTTCCGGTAGACGAAGTGGAGGGCGCCCCTCCCCCCACTATTTTACTTGACGACCTGGCAAGACCTAGTAAGCAAGAAGTCGATGGATGCAGGGGGCTCAGGATCGTGAGTTTTGGCAATCCTTGGTTGAGGCCTTTGTTCAGCAGTGGACTTGAGAAGGGCTGTGATGAATGATGATGACGGCATTTAACATCGCCAGTTTCTTTATTTTGATAATATTAAATAACTAAACCGAGAAAATTGTAAAGGCAACAACAACTAAAATGGGCAGAATCTCTTTCTGTTCTGATTAAATTCTGGGTTTAAATATCAGCTACACAAAGCCAAACAAAACTATTTGATCTAAACACTTGTTATTTTTACATGTATACGAGTATTAAGGCTGCCCTTTTAAAATCCAAATATCATTAACTCCTATTTTTCTAAAGTTCTGAAAAGTGCAATGTTTGAGAACATATGTAACAAATTCTCTTTTAAATCAGTCGAAGAATGTTGTATATCATATCTTATAGTTATGATTTAAGGAACCTTTTAATCGAAGATACCGTCAAGTACGAACAGCGTTAGTACCGAAGTTGTACCCCTTTTCACATTTTTATATTTTTGATGGTAAAATTTATCTGTATATTGTGAAGAAGACAAGGTATTATACCATTATACACGAGCTAATTTCGTGGTATAAGAACAACCTAATCCCGATAACGTGTACATTTTAACTAATTTTTGCAAACGCTATTTTAGGTACTACGGTGTCGGTTTTGCGTTTTTTTAATAGAATTATGGTGACAAACGAGCACACAGTCCACCTGATGGTAAGTGGATGCTGCGGCCCACAGACATCTACATCTGTCCTCGATTAATAATCAAAATGCAGATGCGCTGTCACCCCTGAGGACTAAGATGGAATGCCTCGTTTCCAGTAAAAAAGGGTCTCCGAATCTCTACATTCACCACACGAAATACAGCAAGCAAGCTCCTATTTTACGCTGGTATTCTGCGAGAGCGTGATCTTTTTCCAGTCGAGCCGACCCATTCGTGCTACAAACCATAATATAGGTGCAGCGTGGCTCTACCACGTGTACAATGAGCAAATTTATCAAGAAAAGTCTTGAAAATATCTATTAAGTAGAAAACACTGACCTCTATATATACAAATACGCTGGACTGGCTATACCATAGAAAATGACTGTGCCAATTTGAAGCGCCGCTAAAGGATGTCTTGAAAAATAAAATTGACATAATATGTCAAAGTCTGTTGTCTTATTTATATTGTCTTATTTAATAAGTCCGTATTTTGAACTTTTAAACTAAAAAACGAAAGTATTTTATGTTGTTTGATTGTGTATAATATTAGTTACACAATAAGAATTATTTTTATTAATAATGAGAGTGTGAGCGTAATCTGTAAAACTCTTTACCAAAAGGGAAGTGGTATAACATTTCACAAGTAAGTGAATTTGCAGTAAATATTAAACAAATTAAAACTATTTTATAATATAAGTACTTAAAAATTTGTTACTAATCTTAATATCATATATACCAACATGTTTGGCTATATATTACTGAGTATTGGTTTATCAATACTCAGTAATATATAAACAATAAAATTCAATAGGATTGTCGAGTTCCTTGTCTATAATACTTATCGATGTTCTTTCCTACCCATATCTGTCAACAAACAAAGTCGCTAACAACAGATGATTATCAAATGTTTATTAATTAATAGGTTTCCAACTGAACCTAGACTTAAGTTATGGCTTAAAAGCATAAATATTGTGAATTGGCGTCCGAAACAAAATGACCATATTTGTTCCAAACGTTTCACAGACGACTATTTTATTAGACATGAGAACTACACCACTTTGAAAAAGTGCAGTATATCGACAATATTTTCTGGTAGTACAAGTACCAGTAAGTATAAAAGTAATAGATTATTATTTCGAATGTTTTTTATTTCTTCTTTCCTCATTTTCCACCAAACTCAAAGGCCATAGCGAAGTGTCGTGATGATGTCGAGCCACGTTGTATGTACTAGAGGAAATTCCTCTTCCTGTGCCGCTGTAGTCGAGGTGGAGTCGAAAGGGAAGAGGAGTGTTTGTATGGCGATTAGCGATGCGCCACAGGACAGTGCTTTGTGTCATTCATTGGGGGAGGCCTATGTTCATCTGTGGACTTGTGAAGGTTTTTAATGATGATGAATGATAATGGCATTATATTAATATGATACATAAATAGAATGGAAGTTACGGATAGAGTCCATCTATCCATAGAGTCCATTCTATTTATTTAGGTATGGTAGGGGTATAGAATTTTATCGATAAAATTTAGTACACTGTCTTATCCCTATTATTAGTTTCGTGGACGTGCACTTCTGCTGTCAGCGCCAAAATGGCGGAAATCAAATCACTTCATCATGTCACGGTGTATAGCCAGTCCAGCGTACTTGTATATGTAGAGGTCAGTGGTAGAAAAGGATCGAGAAGATGATTGAGTAAACAGCAGATATTACAGTTCAACCAGTGCAAAAACATGGGCCGAGACCTCACCCTCTCTCACCACGCGTACCCAATGTAACGCCTATCCGATAGCATCAGAAATACAAAGTACTGAACACACTTAGACCTAAAAATTAACCGTTTGTTTCTGCACAAATGTTGACTTTGGAAAACGCTGGATTATCTAGCCACTAGCCCACATGGTCTTCAAATTATACACAATGATAAAAAAAAATTGCAAAGAAAAGAAAATCAAACTATTGAAATAAATAAGTGAATAACCTGTGGTAACGCTCCTTTAACCAACTGAGGTATATCTTGAGTGGTGTAACCGATTGCACTCAACCCGTTTTCAATTTTCATTCTGTCCATATACTTCAAAATTGTGTCGGACAACACTTTGCCCGCGTCTTCACGTTTCTTCCCGATGATGTTAGCGCCTAAAATGCTCGCTGCCTCCAAATGCTTGTCAGGGTCACTAGCCGCCGTGAAGCGAAATACTGACGGCGCTGTTAATACCACGGCTAATCCATGTGGTACTATAGGCTCTGCTCTGATTAAAAAAAATCACCTTTTATAGATAATAAAGCATGCGTAACTATTTGCGACGTATGAGAAATCAGTATTTTATTTTGTTTTCGAGAATGACGTAAAAGTAAACTTCTGATATAAATGTTCTGGTGCAAAACAATCTTGCAAACGGTTATAGGCACTACGCCCGCAAACTAACAACCTGCCGTCCAATCTTGAAGATTACAAGAAAGTCTCCCTAACTTTCCCAGTTACACCTCGATGTATTAATGATAAATTTATATCGCAATATTTTTCTTAAATATCGTAATTGACCGCCTCGTTGGTTTAGTGATTGTAAACGCGACTGCTGATCCTGAGGTCCTTGGGTTTGAACCCGGGTCGGGCTAAAATAACAGTTATTGAGTTTTTCTGTCAAGAAATTTTTAGTAGCTGCCCGGAGTCGGAAAGTAGGCGATGTCTTACCCCGTACCGCGGAAATCACGTAAAACCGTTGGTCTTGCGCCTGATCTCTCTCCGGTCGTGTCGGTTTACCGTCCCATCGGACTATGAGAGTAAGGGAATAGAGATTGCACATGTGCATACACTTGGGCACTATAACCCTATCCTGTGCCGATGGCTAGTCTCCATTGAGATTGACCGACGACGTGATCGAAATTCGGTCTGAACGACATTATTATTATTATTAAATATCGCCAAAATTTTGAATACTAAAGCCTTCGATCAAATAAATTCATAAACGGACGCGCTAAAAAAGGACAAAACACTGTTATGTACATGTAACGACTAGGTACTTCCATTAAAATTATAGAAAGTCTATATAGAAATATTTTTTTAAATTATTTAAAAAATATTTAATATTAATTTAAAAATACTTTATCTTTACAAAATCCAAACTATCAAAAGTTGAGGTCGACGACATTTAACAAACTGCCTTTAACAAGTTGCCTATCAAAATATAAGTTAGTCCTTGTTTTCGGCCCCACCTCTTGATGGTTTTATAGTGATGCAATCCTAAAAAAATTTTAACAGCTTTTTTACGTTCAGCTGCTGGGCTTGCTCAGCTATGCAGGTGTCATCACGATGTTTTCTTTGAGGAGGAAGGAAGTAGCAGTCGTCACCTTTCGAGTTTCGTAGAGAATTACTACAAAATGCGCTGTTTTTAGGACTATTTAATTTATGTACAATTTCTAACTTACGGATTTTATTTCATGTACCTACAGGATATTTACTATTTACTTATTTCAAAGAAGCTAACTCGTATTCAGCAAAAAAGTATTTTTATATCGGCAACGAAAAAATAAATATCCTACCCATAATCCTTGGGCACAAAGTTCTTCACATTTCCAGCGATCGGGTAAGCAAGGCCGTGACATATATGCACCCCGGCGTTTCCAATGCCCACACCCGCCATTGTTGCTGCTAGGTGCATAGAGGAACGAGCCTCCAGATCGTCCGCGTTATACACCGAACGAGCGAAGTATTTATGAAGGCACTGCCGAATTCATTAGAACATAAAATATCTGAATCGTCCAATATACATGTCTACTTTCTTCTTTATCCAATAGTTATAAATACATCTAGTGGTGATGATAACATTTTTTGCTACTACCCATAGTAGCCTCTTGTACCTACCATCACACATCACAACACGGTAATATATTCTTTTTTATTGCTATTTATAATTTAAAGTTATAAAAGCAAACCCATTTAAAGTAGTGAAAAGTCCACGCTACTCCATGCATGTTGGTGTGCTCCAAATGTTTTTACGTTTGTACGTCCACTAAGTGAAAAAGCTGTTTCATTCGAATGTAATGAAATCAATTTCAATTAAATTCAGGCTATGTGTTCACCAGTAAATACGTGGGAGAATTATGGGTTTATTTTTCAACAATATATATATATATATACTATATATATATATATATATATAATATATATATATATACATATATATATATATATTTTAAATTATAGTGAATATAATTTTAAACGGGCAGACCAAACAGCCCATATAAAGCGTGAAAAATCTGCTTTTTGCGCTCACTTCAACTTAAAGGATTGGAAGTATTTTTTTTATAAACACGATTCTACTTCTTATCTATATATTAAGCTACGGATCAATGTCTATTCTATGCAAGTATTTTTCTTCCAACAAGGCTTGAATCTTGGAACTTTTAAAGGTTTGGAAGTTCTTTTTTGTAAACGCAATTGTGCTCTTTATTCAAATGAAATTACGGATCAATTTTCGATGCAGAAAGAAAATACTTGAAAGTATGACGAGCCCTGGTTTTGGCGCTGGTATCTGAAGTTTCTGAAGGTGGACGTACTTGGAAGCCCTCGTACTCGATTATGCAAGCACGACCCATGTCTAATACCGGCTCTCTATACCTACTCTTCAGACCGGAACAACGGTCACTACTAGCGTCGGGCAGTGGCGTTAAAGTTGTGAGACGTATGTTACTGAAGTTGAGACTCGCTACTTCACTTGTCTTGACTTGACATTTGCTTGGCAATCCTCTCTACAATGAAGGGGCTAAATGTCCAGCAGTGACCTAGTACGCTGCCACATACAGATGATGAGACCCTTTTTAGGGTTCCGTAGTCAACTAGGAACCCTTATAGTTTCGCCATGTCTGTCTGTCCGTCTGTCCGTCCTCGCTTAATCTCTGTGACCGTTAGCACTAGAAAGCTGAAATTTGGTACCAATATGTGTATCAATCACGCCGACAAAGTGGTAAAACAAAAATTGGAAAAAAATGTTTTATTAGGGTAGCCCACCTATATATAAAGTGGGAAGTGATTTTTTTTTTAATTTCAACCCTAACGTGTGATATATTGTTGGAAAGGTATTTAAAAATGAATAGGGGGTTTACTAAAATCATTTTTTGATAATGTCAATAATTTCGGAAATAATCGCTCCAAAAGTAAAAAACAATGTGTCCCCCCCCCTCTAACTTTTGAACCATAAGTTTAGAAAATATGAAAAAAATCTGGAAAGTAGAACTTTATAAGGACTTTCTAGGAAAATTATTTTGAACTTGGATGGAAACAACAGTTTTTGTACAAACTCATAAGTGGGAACACTTACTGTGACGGACGAAAAACTACGGAACCCTACATTGAGCGTGGCCCTACACGCTCTTGGCCGCTTTATTACTAGATACAAGACATCTTAGTCCTCAGGGGTGACATCTGAATTTTGATTCCTAGCTGAGGATAAATGTGGATGTCTATGGGCCATAGCATCTACCCTACCATCAAGTGAACAGTGTACTTGTTTGTCACCCTTATTCTATAAAAAAGTGATAATGAAGTGCGTGGCACATAGAGCACTGCAATAATTATATAATTCATCATTGCTCAACCTATGTTTGTTACATTCCTTACGGGAGGTCTATACCTACCCCTACCCCTAAGGAATGTAACAAAGCACTTCAAAGTTACAATAATTTCAGTGCCACTGGCAGCAGTTATCGAACTCGGATTTGGTTCTCGTATCTAAGTATAAGCCGAAATCGTTGTATATTAAACTAGTCTAAAATATAACTTGTTAAAATACCTGAAGGCAAAATCGGGCCCAAACATCTGAAATGGGATTACTGCCTTGATATACCGGACGCAATGCAGGATTTTCAGGTACTGGGCCTCGCTCAGTATACGGAATTGCAGTAAAACTTTCCAAAGCGTGGCAGAAGATGTCGAAACCTGAGTAGTTCGCCACCGTTTGGGGTACGCTTAATGTGTGAAGGGGGTCTATCAATGCCAATAAAGGTCTTAAAGCAGTGTGGGATATTCCTGTTTTTGCATGTATTTCTTCGTAATCAAATATACTCATCCCTGTCGTCTCACTTCCCGTACCGCTTGTTGTGGGTACTGCAAACAAGAGTATTATATTATTTGGTGTGGGACATAATATATATTCACATAAACAATTAACAAAAAGTTATATATATATATAATATATATATATATATATATATATATATATATATATATATATATATATATATATATATATATATATATACTTTATTGTTTGCGACATGTAAAGCACAGGCTGACCACAAAGTTCATTCATTAATTCTTCATTAAAGTGAAGAAGAAGCCCCTCCTCGTAACCAGTGGGGCAGCTAGCGCACCTAACTGACTGAATATGCTGAGTTCACCTACGCCTTTGACGCAGCTGTACCCGACTGCATTACTCCACAAAGGTTGAGGACATAGCAGAGTACCCACATCGGAGTGGAAACCAACTTTACGTTACTGTTCAAAAAGTTGGAGCCACAATCGGGTCCCAACATGCCGAAACGAGACTTTCACGAAAGAAGAATTTTGAGCGAAAGGGGTCGTGTTGCAGACGGTTACGCAATAACGATAAGTCAATAGCGTAACACGATGCAGACAATACGTGAATAGCGATAGTTCAACTATACAAATAAATAAAATTGATTCAAAAAAGTGTTCGTTTGTAATGTCAAAAGAAAAGCTTTTTACTAAATACATAAATGAAAGTACATACGGTACGGTAATAAAAAAAAAACAATTAAAAAAACTGCCTGTTACGGCTTATCTCCGAAATGGCTGGACTGATTTTGACGGGACTTTCACTGAGAGATAGCTGATCTTAAGAAACTAATTAGGCTATTTATTATTTTAAAGAATTAGTCCGCGATTTAAAACTAGTAAAATATGTAACAAATCCCAAGTGCACGAAATCGCGAGGAAGAACTAGTTAATTAATAAATAATAAATGTATTAGTTTATAAGTTATAATTATATTTATGCATGTGTATGAACCTTTGTTTAAATAAATAAATAAATAAAGATTTGCACTACACCTACTTGCAATCATAGGCTTCAGTGGCACCGTAACAGGCTTTCCTTTGCCTATAGGCAGGTTGACATAATCGAGGAACTCCGCTTCTGGGTCACAGGCGAACAAGTTGGCAGCTTTACACGTGTCCATCACCGAGCCGCCGCCTACTGCGACATAACTATCGAACATACCATTCTTTGCGAAATCTATTGCATGCTTAAAACTGAAACAAAATCATATTTTTATATCATGTAGTACATTCATTAAAACAAATGTGTATGCTTAGCTTAAGCACTCTTACCAGATCACAAGTCACGAGTTCCAATTACGAATCACGGAACTACGGTCATCCTACATCATCCATTACGACAGATCAAACAGCGATGAACCCTTAATACCCTCTTTCTTATATGTAATTTTTATAGGTAGGCGTTTTTTAGGGAACAAAATAATAATCCCCGTGTCTACTAAGGCTGCGGTCACGAAATTAGCGACGCGACGGTCGAGCGATGTCGGTAGCGGAGAGGTGCGGCGTGGCGCTTAGCAATCCGACAGCGGTATCTCGCGTGGGCACGAACGAAACAGCGCTCGCACTCGGTCAGTCGCACTAGAGTAGTGTTATGTGATTAACATGACTTTAAGTCGAAGACAACTATTGGAACCTAGTCTCCTAATAAGAGCGGAATTGTTATTAGCTAGAGATGGTGTTCATTCAATAAATCAAAGGAGAAGTAGTTTGGGCGAATTTCCTATCGTTCATTATGAATTAATGTGTTATTCAAAGAAATTTTATAACTATAAGAATGATAATGAGTAACTACAGACACATTTGATTATAAATTAGAAAAAATTAGATGTAATTTCGAATCCGTTATCTCTGGAAATCGTTATCAATTTCCATTATTATAATTATAAATAAAAATACAACCCTATACACTCGAGGAAGCGGTAAAATGAAAATAGTTTGTTCCCGTCGCCATCGCCCCGCCACCGCCCGTGCATCGCTCGATCGCCCCGCGCTGCTCTCGGCTATTTCGTGGGCGTCGCTATATTAAACTATGATTTAGCTTACGTTGCTGTCGCATCGCATCGCGCCGCCCCGCAACCGCCATCGCTCGACCGTCACTAATTTCGCGCCGTGTAAATAATAAAGGTGAAGCAGAGTCAAAGTTCAGGCATGCTGTCGATCTCTACGACCCCCAATGCCTAAATTCAAAGTCATTGGTAATTATACAACTAACATACATTTTTGCTTTTAGATTTTAGATTATTTCCGATGACAATGCCATTCAATGACCCTGTATATGAACCCTTTGTCGGATATTATTACATAATAATCAGCAGCTCCACAGCAAGTCCACGGGTAAAAAGACTTTTCCATGAACGCTTCGCGCCAGTTACTAAGCTAGCTGGACTTTTCTCCTTCTGGATCCTCGTACTGGATAACGTTACTATCTATCTGTTATTGTTAGCGTGAGTAGTATTTTTAAATAGCTATAATTATATATCCTTATATGTCAAACCAAAGGAAGAAAGAAAGAAAGAAAGAAAACATTTATTGCTCAAATACGCCACATGTACATTTAAACCATAAACATAAAAAAAACATAGTAAAAAGAAAAAAAGAAGAATAAAAAAAATATTAAACACAACATCACACATTTTACGCACACAAGTGTGTGTGGCGTACACGGCAAACAGACCGCACTCAGCTTAATGCCGCAGCCGATACGAGACTACAGCGCTGGTTTTCAGTGGGCCTGTAAACCAGTTGGTGTATTGTCTTTAAAGTAAAAAATATAAAAGTCTTAATGATACTCTGAAGGTTAATATATTAATAAACGTGCATTCTTTACCATTAGAAAGCTAATACGATGTAGAATAACATAAGATTTAAAAAAAGTAGGATTAAAAGGACTATTTTTCGAGAAATTTTAAAGTTATTGTAAAAATGACGAAAAAATACCAGATTTTCATCAAAAACCTCTTTATTCTAATATTATGACGTTCATTTTATTGGAAACTTTATTGGCACGGGTTATTATTAAGGCATTTAAAAATTTATTCCATTTTGATAGGACATTCAGTTTCAAAGTTACAACAATTTATTTAAATAGGGTTAGCAGCTGCAATTTCAAATTTTAAAATATTCATAAAAAAAAAAATTTTTTTATAATTTTTCCGTCGATGAAATTATGTGTAGTTTCCCTGGTTTTGATATGTGCACTTTATAAAGACTCACACTGTATAGTATATAGTATATTATAGTGGGGTTTATCAATTCAGAAATAATTTTATGATTATAATCATATCGAGTAGGCATCAATCCGAGTAGGCATAGTAGGTCTGGTTTGACCTACTATGCCTACTCGGTTGTGGTAGCGTAAAATAATATATTAAATGTACCTTGTATCGGTTGGCTCAACCCGTACTTTATCATAAACACTATAGTTAATTCCATTTTTAACAAGAGAATCAAGAACCGCTTTCATAGGACTGAGTGACACCACATTAGGGTCTGTCATAATGCAGACATTCTTCGCACCTAAATTTACTAAATCCATTCCCACTTCCCGTGTCACGCCCAATCCATATCGTATTGTGGAACATTTTATCTGTAAAATAAGACTGTTTTAAAATAAACAAAATAGGTAAAGGTTAAACATTAAAATTAAAATAAAATTAATTAGAATTAGAACATTAGAGTCATTAAAGAAAAGAAACAATTATATACAAAAAGTTAATAACATAGTGCAGCTCTCAACCCAACTGTCAGGTACGCCAAATATATATCCCTCTGAGGCCATTTACGGCAGAGACCTTTGTTCAGCAGTGTACTTAGATTACTTAGATTCTTTTTATAGGATAGGATGACAAACTAGCACACAGTCCTAGTCCTAGTCCACCTGATGGTAAGTGGTTGCTGTGGCCCATACACATCTACATCTATCCTCGATTACGAATCAAAATGCAGATGCGTTGTCATCCGTGAGGACTTAGGTGGAATGCCTCGTTTTGAGTAAAAAGGGTCTCCGGTTCTCTACACTCACCATACGAAACACAGCAGCATTAAGCTACTATTTGACGCTCTTATTCTGTGAGAGCGTGGTCCTTCCCCGGTCGAGCCGACCCATTCGTGCTACAACTATACTACTAATATAACTGCAGCATGGCTCTATCACGTAAATTTTTTTTTTTATAAAAAGTGAGATAGGTGTGGGATAGTGAGTTAGGCATGGGTTGCCTCATATACAAAAGAACTCAAAAATATTAAAAACCACAATTGCCAACGCGCCTGTCAAACGCGATAACTGTGACAAATTACGAAGGAGAGCCACTCTGCAGCTATAATAGCTGAAGCAAGAATGAGTTGGCTCAACCGATGTAGGACCACATTCTCACAGTACAACAGCGCAAAATTGCAGCTTAATTTCGCTGTTTCGTATGGTGAGTGTAGAGAAAAGGAGACCCTGTTTACTGGAAACGAAGCACATACCGTCTTGGCCTTCAGGGGTGACAACCCATCTGCATTTTGATTCTTAATCGAAGATAAATATAAATGTCTAAGGGCCACAGCATCCACTTACCTTCAGATGCACTGTGTGCCCGTTTGTCACCTTTATTCTATAAAAAAATGCTAATACTTACAATATTGATGATTTTAATATGTAAGTACAGTTAAGTGTCTGAAAGTAAGTCTAAACGAGGCATCATCAGAGAAAGCTAAGCCAGCCCTGTCATCCTATTTCAACAGATGATGCTTCGTTTAGAGGCGAAACACGTTTTATATTATCTATGATGGTGTGTCTCAGCTTGTATATGCTATACTACATAAGTGTTATATACGTAGACAGAGAAACCTATAGACTTTTTTTTTTAGTTTTAGGTTATACAATAATATTTATGACTTTTAAACATATTTAGATAAAAATTTTAGTTTTTCTAAGAACTCAACTGAACAAGATTCACCAATCTTAGGCTCACAGAACATTTTTTTCTCACTTAAACCAACTTGTCAACTCCTTATATCGCTACGAACTGTCAAAGTTGTTTAGTAAAGTGTAGTTTGCTAAACAAAAAAAACCGGCACGGAGAAAGGGACAAACAATCACACCGCTCTGTCTCATTTCTATGCAAGACGTATGCATAAATCTATCTTTTTCGTGTGCGAATGCGAAAGAACACTTCAATATGTCTATAGGTTTCTCTGTCTACGGTTATAATATACTATATGGGCTTGATTAATTAATGGTGGCAGTGATAGAGAATGGAATTGTAGAAGGTGCTCAACCTGGTAGGATACACCATTTCATTATTTACGCAGATATTAATTATGTAGCTGATTAATGATTTCTTATATTTACGCGAATGCTACGCATTATATGAAACTAATTTTACGGATTTTTTCACGTTTCATTAAATTTAACTTTTTATTAAAAGTTATTTTTATTTGTTATTTTTATAAGGGAATACAAAGTTACGCAAAATAACGCCTGATTCTGTTAATTATACTGGATGACCTATTTTACCGTCTGGAAACAAATAGGTTGTAACATGTGAACGGATTAGAAGCCTATAGCACTGATATTTTACAAGTAATAAAAACAAAAAATTTGAATTAAATAAATAAATTAATTAAAATCTATCGAAATACAGATCATATTCACCCTACTTTACGAACGGCAATAAAACCGTAAATCTTCGACCTTGTTACTTCGCAGGGTCACAGGCTCAAGGGTAAAGGTTAAAAAAAAATTCAAACGTTTAATTCAAAAATTTTATTTTTATTTTTTTGTAAAATATAAGTGCCATAGGCTTCTACTCCGTTCACATGTTACACCCTATTTTTTTCCACACGGTAAAAAAGTCATCCAGTATAGTGATTTAGTGGAAGTAATCATTAGGTTTTTTAATATAACATTAACGGTTTTTAAACATCACACACTTACCTCAAAGGCATAATCTTTCAGAGGAGTAGAATTTAAAACTTGAACATTTCCTTTGTGGCTATGAGCTGGACACTGACATCTAAAATAGAGTATAGATATATAATAACTAATACCTACATTACAACGATTAATGCATAACCAAAACCTAGATACCAAGTTAGTGTATGTTTATTTGTATTTAAAACAAACGGAAAAATTAAAACATTTGTACAACTGACTTCAATACGACCGAATCAATGTATTCGAAGTCAATTATATACGCATTATTGTAGATAACTCAAAAACTACTGGTCATATCTTGATTATATTTATATGGGACCACAGGAGCAGCACCAGCTTTCAGATAAAAAAAGTCATCAAAAAAGATTCACCCAGAGAAAATTTATGAGGTGATATGATAACACAAGTATAAAAGGACATATAGTCGAAATGAATACCTCCTCCTTTTTAAAGTCGGTAAAAAATCTGTGCAAAATATTTATTCATTTATTGAAATATATATAGGACAGTAACAGTACCCAAATAAGGAAATTCCATGGGGCAATAAAAAATGAACTAAATTTATTAACTTATCATAGAGATATCACATTAAATACATAAAAAATTACAATCGAATTGTCAACCTCCCTCGTTTTAACCGACTTCAAAAAAGGGGAAGGTTCTATTTCTCGGAAACAGCCTAACTAATAAAAAAAATCTATTTTCAAATAAACTATACCTCTATGGTAAATTAAATTAAATTTTTAAAAAGAGATTAAAGTAAATTTTAAGAAAAAGTTCCACTCACAAGTGTGGGGAAAATGAGGAAGAAATATTTACCGAGGTTTAGACAACATTTAAGATGTTACCTAGAGCTTGTGATATTGCTTGGACTTGGCAATTAAAAAAGGTGTAAAATAATTTTTAATAATAAGTACCTAATAGCAACTCCAAAATATTAAAAATAAATTCCACATAATGTCTGAAGACGGGGTTTTCGTTCTTCAATACATTGTATTAGCACCAACTTCACAAGTGGAAAGTGAAAATTATTACATTGTTTTTGAAGTAGGTGTTTAATTTTTGAAGTCTGACCTCTCTTAGTCCTCTTTCACTCCTTAGTAAGTTAATGGAGGTATCCATTTATAAACTATGGGGGTGAAAAATTTACTGGGAATGACATTTTTCTTTAGTTTTTTCTCAATAATCATTTTGATGAGGGTCAAGGGTTAGCAACTACTTTTTTATATAGTCTGCAAAAATCAATAAAAATTTTCCATTAGTAAGTGGTAGCTTTAGGGCTAAGCCCTCCCTACATCAAACTCAATCCCTGTTGGTACCAATGAAATTTTTAGTTGCAGTTTTAAGTGCTAATTTCGCTGGAGCAGGGCAAACTAATCCTTAATAACACTTTTAGAAAGAGGAGGGCTTCGCTATAAACATAATATTCTAGCTTGTAACATAAATTAGCTTTTAATTACATAATAATGCATACATATGTATATTGTTAAATTTATTCCTTAATAAGCTGTTATCTCATATCCTATATGTTTTCAATAACATCAAAAACTTGTTCCCATATCACAATAACCTCTAAATCAATTCCCCAAAATCATTTTTATTTTAATTATAATTGAGCTTAAACTCAAGTTATCAATCTAATCATTATCATCATCATTACACCCTTTCACAAGTTAACAATTACTGAAAATGGGCCTCCTCCAAAAGAATACCAAAAAGCATAGTCCTGAAACACCAGCATACATCGAATTCCTGCATTAGTCCAATAAATAATCAGACAGGTATTCAAATAATTCCAAATTTTCCGTTTGCTTATTTTGGTACAGAACATTGGACTTGAAGATGAGAAAAATGTTTTATGGTTTCATTATTACGGAAATGTGTGCAGAATCAAAAATTTATATTCAATTTTATTTAACTCTATCTTACTATTCATTTCTTCCTATGAAAATAGTAAGAGGTAAGACACGGCATGTCAGATCTCATAGTAGTACCATTTTATATGCCTCAGTTGTCAACAGAGAAGAGTCAAAGATGGTATCAGGTATCAATCATACTATCAAGCATATTCACTTTGAAGAAGATACCAATAAAGTATACAAGATTTTTTATGAATTATTCAAGTTAACAATAATAGTGGTTTGTTCACATACTGTATAATTGAAGACCAGTACCTAACCTCCGAACATAAAAGGATCTTAAATGAGTAAGTATTTTAAATTTTAACAATGCTGAGAGAAAAATTTATCATCTGCCTAATCATGTAGTTTAAACATTAAATTTTAAAGTTAAATACTGAAGGTCAAAACCTCAGAAGTAGTAAAAACTTTTTACTTCAAAAAACCATAAAAAGTGTAAAAACATACAAATTTGCATTTGCTCTTACATTGTATTTCTTTGACTTTTGATCTTTGAAAGGTTATTTAGCTTTTATTGAATAAGTATATACTCACGATGCTATGTTCATTGTTTTTAGCAAATTAAAGACCCTCGTACGAGAAGACATGGTATTGGATTTGTTTGTGAATTACTTATATCGAAAAATAACAAAAACTTTAATAAGTTAGCTTGTTGAAATCGCACATCAAAAAATTACTTTAGTATTCTTATCGTAGACCTTCAGCTTAGCGTACAAGATACCTATAATATAGGTAATTCTTATTTTTTATCAAAATATACAAGATACCTATAATATAGGTAATTCTTATTTTTTATCAAAATATTATTTTGTTCATAGAACAAAATTATTACATGTGTAAATATGTAGATACATTTCTAAATATAAATATTTATTTATTACATTCTTCCCGAATCGTATTATTCCAATTAGAACTAAAACATAATTTAAAAATATGAATACATTTTTTAGATTATTTATCGGATTCGGTTTATAAAAATAATTAAAAATAATAGCTTGCTACGTATTTATTTATCTATGGTTTATAATTTAAATACAGTGAAATATAAGTTGTTGTTATTGTTGTTTTTTTTTATTATTCGTTCGAGAGAGCAGGCAAAGGAACTAAGCCATACAGCCTTGTCTTTTTTTTTAATTTGAATATATAGAATTTTTAAGTGTAAAGGCTGGAATCAATTCTTATTTTTCTTCTTTCCATCTCTTCAAAGTCCATAAAGGCCGAAGCCAAGTCTTATTTTCTTTAATTCTTATATTATTATATATTTTCAAAAATCACAAAGGCTAAAGCTAAGTCTTCTTTATATTATAATCTTTATAAGTTTCAATCCATATAGATTTATCAGTCCAGTTTCAAGGTTCCCGTGTTTTTTTTTTATTTTCTTTACAATATGCTGATGCGTCACATTGCGAAGCTCTTGGGAGATTTTGACGACAGCTAAACCCAGTCGACAGTTGATGACGACAGCCACTCAAGTTCATAAGGCGACTAAGTGATCAAAATAACTTGAGGTTTATATCGACATCAAAGCACAACTTGTTTCGTCACTTCCTCTAATATTTCACAAAATCACATCACTTTTACTAATTAAAATTCACTTCAAACCATTACTCAAGCAACAAAACAGGAACGACAGTCCGTCGTCGGTCAAGTTCCCGCCAAAACTCCGCTTTATTACAGGTTAAAATAACATTTGATATCATTTGAAATATTCAACAATAAAAAACAAACAGAAAATAAAATAATACCGCAGCATATAAATACATATTTATCTTAGACCTTCGATCAATAATACTAACTAGATGTCGGGTCGGCGCAACAAATCCATCTTAGTAAATAAGAGCGCACATGAGACGTGAGTTCTTATTTCGTTTAGTTCACTTGAAACACAGCCAATATAAACACGTTTCACAATGCCGCAATGTGTATTTAATAAGTTGCAAGTATAATGCCCGAAAAAGTAATTTTACGGCCGGAGTGTCTTACTTTCGGTAATGACATGTTTAATATGTTATATTTTAAGCTCTAAACTAACAAATAATATCATATTTTAAACAAAATTACCGATCATAACCACCCCTACAAATGTTTTGCCAATGTTTCTTGTTGTTGTTTGTAACTTTCTTCCCCGTTCGAGCCGATCCATTCGTGCTACAACTATACTACTAATGTAATTGCAGCATGGCTCTACCGCGTTTTAAAAGTATGCAATGGAGGGTCTTATTGTTAACAGCAATTTCTTCCCAATTTTTTCCAGATAACCAATGAATGGACAGGATTAGATGAAGATGTCAGGAGTAGGGCAAATTGGTGTGATAAAAAAGAATACACATATTTATATATATACTATACATAGATACATACATACTACAAACATATATACATACAAAAACTAAAATAGATATTTAATGAATTAGTTAATTAAATGCAATCAATATAATTCATACTATATCATATTTAATGGCTAGTGTGGAAAGTATGTTTACCAACAATCATAAACGCCCAAAACATAAAAATAATTTTAATTAAAATTATGATCATATTATAAATTATTTTATAGTGTTCAACGCGACTCAATACTTCCTGGACCAAATTCGAAGAAGAAAACAGAAACATAACAAAATGAAGTTGCTCGCAAGGCAATAACGGGAAAAAGAACTTTATTGGTTATAACTTAGGGTTGATTTCACACTAAATGTTATTTAATTTATGTCTTTTCACTTCCAAGTGATAAGGAGTATTGTATAGCTTTTTTCTTTTTTGTGACTAATAATAATCGTAAGATTTGTGGCTTTATTACTAAATGCGATGGTTGTAATTAGGTTGAACTTATAACTATTTTAATTTTTTGTCTCATTTCTTTACTAAACAAATGTAGCTGTTTAAGTTTATATTTACGCGGACAGTATTTAGCTATGATTTTGTACGTGACCCGTTATCTAGTTGGTATTGTTGATCGAAGTCGTAGACAGAGAATTTCTCTGTCTAGGATATTAGCTACCCTACACCAGCCTACGACTTTGGGATATAGATATAAATAAAAATACGCATAGATGTGTTTTAATATCATTTCTCAAAAATGTTTATTATTTAAACCGCACCCCCGTAGTTTATGAATAAAAAATAGGTAAATATCGCGCATCTTATAACGTCGATATCTCTTCAGATACTTAAAATTCGGTACTTCTTATAATTTAAAAAAAACTGCACCCTGCTTGAATCTGACTCCACCACGCTCGCCAGAGTTAATAATACTCAATTTATCAATCTTCGAATTGCACGGAACCCTCTCTTTATTAGTTCAGTGCAAAACTACACATCCGAGGAGCAACAAAAAAATAAACAATTGAAACTCATAATGATGAATTCCTTTCTCAATTCCTAGATTTTTTATCACTTTCCTTATTGACATTTTAAAATTCTTATAATAAATTTTTTTTTCAAATTAAACATGGTTTTCAATTATTAAATAAGCATTTCAAATTTTATTTCCATTTAAAAACGACCAATCAGAATCAGTTTATGGTTGTTAATAACAAGAAAACCAAAGACAATGCATTCGCCTAGTATCTACTATTACTTTGTATCGGTTTTGAGCAGTCGATTCTATGTTTTATTTTAACTTGAAAGCGTTTTCTAAAAAAAAAGAAAGAAAAGTGTTCTAATACTTAGTGTTCTAATAATTAGTGTTTTGTTTTAAACTTGAAACTGTAATAAGATAATTATAATAATAATAATAATAAATCTTTATTTCAGACCAGGGTCCATATTTGGTTAGTAGAAAAGAAAAAACAAAACAAAACGAAGAAAAAAAAAATGAAAAAATCAATCAATAAAAGGAAAATAAATTAAAAATAAATCAAAATAAATTAAAATTAACTAAAATTAAATATAATTACTAACTACTACTAAGATTAACTAACTAACATTAAATACACACACGCTTGTTAGCATATGTGTGTGCACCATTCCAACTCCTCCAGAGTGGGCTGTCGAGTTTGCACGCCAACGTGCTGAGAAGGGCATTGGTGCTGTTCACTAAACGGCCCATCATGGATGCAACACGTTTCCGGAAGATCGCGTAGAAGTCGTCTACACGAGCCTCCGCAAACATTGCAGATGCACTGCAGTGACGTGGCTTCCCCAATACCGCTCTCAGCACATTGTTGTACTGCACACGAAGAGTTCTGAAGGTCCGCTGCGTATAGTCCGCCCACAGACTGCACGTGTAAAAAGTCTGGCAGTAGGCTCTAAACAGCGTTAATTTTACCTCTGCATTACAACGCGCAAATCTGCGGGCCAACATATTGCCCCGGACCGACAGCGCCCTTCGCTCCCTCTCTATATCACCGTCGTCCACGAGGCGCTCGTTAACTATATGGCCGAGATATTTGAACTCCGCCACCTGTTTCAGGGGAATACCACACAATCGTATGATTGGCTGAAAATTGGTGGGTTTGTTTTTTCCCCTGAACACAAGGAACTCGCTCTTTTTGGCGTTGTATCTGAGTCCATTTCTCTCAGCATAGTCCTCACATATTTTAAGTAGCTTCCGGAGGCCACTGACCGAAGGACTAAGCAGAACCATGTCATCCGCATAGCTGATGTTGTTTATAAAGACACCATCAACTGAGCATCCGACACCAGCTCTGCTCAGCCCCTCTATCAGCTGGTTGACAAAAAGATTGAACAGCCTCGGTGACGTAAGCCCACCCTGCCTTACTCCACAGTTCAGCTTGTAGGGGTCACTCATAGCGTCTCCCCATTTTACTACATTTGACTGGTTACCGTACCAGTACTGCAACAACGATAACAGTTCCGGCCTTAGGCTCGTTTCCGTCCTAAGTTTATGCCATAGTACTTTATACGAGACAAGGTCAAATGCTTTTGACAGGTCCAAGAAGCACGCATACACTTGCGTTTTCCTGTCAGTGTAGTACCGTACAGTCTGCTTGAGACACATTATTGCGCTCTCGGTAGACAATTCGGGCTGAAAGCCGAGTTGAGCGTCGTTAATTTTAGTAGCTTTCTTTAAATGTGTATCAAGCAGACTGTCCAGAACTTTAGCCACGATTGTCGCTAGGGATATAGGCCTGTAGTTGGACCTATCCGCTACATTGCCCGTCCTGTTCTTCACTATAGGCACGACCACCGTCATCATCATTGCATCCGGCAGGTGACCATGACTGACACAGAGGTTATAGAGCATGGTAAGGACTCTGGAAAGGTGCACTCCAGCATATCGCAAGTGTTCGACACTCAGGCCATCATGCCCCGGGGATCTCCCCCCGCTTCATACTCCTTATTGCGTCATTTACCTCACAAACAGAGAAGCTCAATGAGTCTACCCAAGGGTCTACGGTGTCCCGAGCACCGTCCACTGTTTGACCTACTATACTTAGGGGTTCCACCCTGAAGTGAGTCTTAAACATATTAGCAATGTTTTGACTCCCTGTTATGCCTCCCACTTCCACAGGAAGGCCCGCCCGTGCATTCAGTCTATTTGTTTGTTGCCAGAACCTACTAAACTGCTTAGTCTCGTGTGTAGAGG